AATCATATTTCCGACGACGAAGAGTCAGAATGGCTGGCAAATATAGATCCAAGTTCATTTGATGAATCGAACGAAGAAAAACAGCTTGACGACCAGAAAATTTCTTCATTTAATGAAGAAAATAGAAACAGCAACACAACAACGCGCCAATTCCGTTCCGCTTCGCATACTTCTGTCACGCACTCCCCGTAAATAAATATCCGCGAAATTCGCCCGCACTGAAATAACAGTTTGGCGTGTTGGATAATAAATAACTTATTAGACGTTTTGTTGTGTAGTATCGCTGAGTATTTTTACGAGTTGTGCCGTATTTTGACGAGCCCGTAGGGCGAGTCAAAATACAAATAACGAGTAAAAATACTCAGCGATACTACACAACAAAACGTCTAATAAGTTATTTATTATCCAACACGCCAAACTGTTATTTCAGTGCGGGCGAATTTCGCGGATATTTATTTACGGGGAGTGCGTGACAGAAGTATGCGAAGCGGAACGGAATTGGCGCGTTGTTGTGTTGCTGTTTCTATTTTCTTCATTAAATGAAGAAATTTTCTGGTCGTCAAGCTGTTTTTCTTCGTTCGATTCATCAAATGAACTTGGATCTATATTTGCCAGCCATTCTGACTCTTCGTCGTCGGAAATATGATTGAAATTGTCCGCCACTTTTTTTTTTCCGTAACTACAATCCAATTCTTCGCTTGCGCGATGCGAGAAAACCGCGTGATATTTGTACTCGTCTATGGCGTTATTCGTACTCGTCTAGGTGTAGTTGGATAATAAAACAACTTATCATTTGAGACATTTCTCTGTTAGTTTCGTAGCCTATTACACTGACTATCTAGCTAGATCTTGAAATGGTTTTCAGAGGAGTGTTTTCTAGAGGGAGATTGAAGGTACCAGTTAAGACCAGTTAAGGTTCCAAAGGGGATTAGGGAGGAATATCATGAGAGGTCCTTGTAACAATAGGCGTCTCCTATTCGCTACATAAGATTGCTTTTATGTGTTCATTGGAGACTAATCACCTCTGAATTTGTTTTAGATTTTAGAAGGTTAACTGTCGATTACAAGAATCTTTTCCAATTAGTTTTTCTTAACATTTTTCAAGGACACCAGTGCAAGTGCCGTTGCAAGTATTCCCAATGTTAGTTATAGATCGGAAAAAGTTCCGATGTTAAAATAATAAATCTTAACCGACGAATGCACCAACTCGGTAGCGTCCTTACATATCTTCTTGAAATTCATTGATTCTAGAAGGAAATGTAGATATTTAGGAACGCTACTGGTAAATGTTATTTTTTTGTTGATTTTCATTGTAGTTGTCAACTCAGTTTAGTCTAAAGTACTTTTAGCAATAACCCCTGAAAAGCTGTTCACGTTCTTGTAAAAATTATACTCGTTTCTTTGGCATTTGAACGCAGCAATATGCTGTCATTAAAAGTTTAAAAACAAATCAATAAGCAGCTCGCAAGCTCGTAAGCTGCACATGTACGCATCGCAAAACCTTTTTTTCGGACCGTAGCCGGGGACATTATCAGCTGGCATTCCAACCACCTTAGGTGGTTTATTTAGTAATTGTATTCCACCCATTAACTTTCGCGTATTGGCGACCTATTGTCACCTGGTGGAAAATCACCGGCCAGTTGTCACGAAATATCACCTGTTTACGATAAACAAACAAAGCCAGCGTAAGAAAGGTAGCCAAAGAGTTTCACTCTTTCATCCTTACTGATTTTTATGGAAGAAAAAAGAACTCGTTTAGTAGAGTCCGGTGATTGGTGAGGCCAACTGAGAATACATGGTTTTTTGGGATAGGTTCCCGTTTATGTATCCCAAAACAAGCCTCAAATTAACTTGTTTTACAAATGTTTTGACAGAGGAGGAGCTGCTTGAGGTCAAAGAAAAAACTATGGAAGGTATTTGTAATTATTGTTTACACAATTATGCTTCTATAAACACTTTTTGGGTATTATCTCTTTTTTAAATTTTGCAAGGCACACACCTTTTCCAGGTAAGATTGATTCTCCCTGCCACTCTTGTAAAATGAACGGAGCGCAGGTACTTGATATGTATTTGTTTAAGTTTTCTTTCAAAACGTAAACGCGTCACACTTCTTGAGTGACATTTTTCTAAAACTTTTTTTTTCTGAGAATTTTGCAATGCACACAGCTTATTCAAGTAAAATTTAATTTGTCCTTGTCACTCGGGTGAATTAAATGGGGCGCATGCACGTTGACACTTATTTTTACTGGCGTTCCTTTAATCCTTCGGAAAACTAACTTGGAGAAAACGTGTTTTTTCAGAGTTTCCGGTAGAGGGGAAAAGTTTACAAGCCAAAGACTTCATGGCTGAAGGTATCTACGTGTGGTATTTACGTAGTTTAACTAAAAAAAAGCACTTTGTGAGTAAGTTGGGTGATTCGATGGCCCCTCTTTTTCTTTATCTCCTGGGAAAGCGTTTGTTGGAGAAGAAAAAAAAAGAAAAAGGAATGATGGTAATAACAACGATAGGAGAAGCAACTTAAAGTTAAAACGACCACTCCTTTGAGTATTCCCTCGCATTCCTGAGTTAGAAGGAACGTGTGTTAAAATACACCGTTTGTAAGTTACCCTTTTTACAACATGATGTGTTGTGAAATTTTGGAGACAATACCATAAACGGGAATGTATTCCAAAACTGAAACAGTTTTGTTAATCTATTTAAAAGTACAGAAGCAAAATTTCGCTAATCTATTTAAAAGTACAGAAGCAAAATTTCTTGGACGAAGTCATGTACGGGCTAAGCCCACTATAGGGCAACTCGAGCGATCCTAGAAATGCTCCCCCTGTAGCCGGGGCCAAACCTGTACATGCTGCCTGTTCATTATCTTCCGTCAGACGCAAAGTGCATCAAAGCTTCTAACTGAAAAATGGCCCTCTACAAAGGTAATTGCTGTGAACATGATTGCTTGATTGAGTGTAACATTTCACACGTTACGGAGCACATCACGAACAGATGGATTGGCTAGTAACGCGCAATAAGCTGCTTATATTTGAGAATTAATGTAAAAAGTGATTTTAAAAGACAGTAGTAAAACACTAATATAATGCATCATTACTTTGTATCTCTGACTTACAGAGAATATTAGACAAGACTCTGAAGCATCGAGCGCCATGGAAATACCAAGTTTTGGATCACAAGCCAAGTCCTTAACCCGGATGAAGAGTCTGTTGTATACAGAATCTGAAGAGTTAGTTTCCACTGACTGTGTTAGACCATTTTTTTAATCTAAAAGGCTAAATCAAATTGGCCTGCCGAATAGGCGTGATTTTTAGCGTCTTTTAGTCGATCGGAGCTAAGCGTGAGGCGAACGCGTAGTGCGAGTCACGTGCGAGGGGAGGACTCCTCTCTTGCATGACTCGCGCTTGGCGCTTGCCACACGCTTGGCTCTGTTTTCATTAAAACACCGGTTCCGCAAGCTAAAGTATTTTGCAAAATGTGCCAGAATGGACAAATTATCGAGCGTAGCGATGTGAGGTCGGTGTTATAGTTATTGCAATTTCCTTTTCTCGGGGTCTCAACATTGCAATTAACCTGTTTGTGTCCCGTACGTAGAAAGTCGTCGCTAAAAAGAGTGTGGGAGATTGATCAAGCTGTTAATGTTATGTATTTTATTGACTAAGTACGAGGGTCATACTGGGAGAATATCGGCCCGAGGTCTTGACTGTAATTATTTTTAAGGCGAGGTCCGAGAAAAGACTGAGCAAGATAAACAGAATGAAACTTGTTATCAATAAGGTACTTTTTGATAAGAGAAGAAAAGGTAGATATATTTAATATGTATTTTGAAAACTTATATCATGTGTGCCAACCGTGTCATGTGTTAACTGAGTCAAATTTCAAGCTCTAATTTTTGTTAGGTGCAAGGTAGACCACCAAGGAACAACATGGAATCTTACGGACATACAGGCTGGTGGTTGTATAACATTCACTCAGGATGCTGTGTCAATGCCCCTTTTGTTTGGGTGCAAATTATTGGAACCGACAGTAGACTTTCCACCTTTGAACAAGGATGAGAGGCTGGTTAGCAGTGTAATAGAGCTTACCTGCGATGAACAGCCGGACATCCACTTCACTGGACAATCTAAGGGAGAGGTAGTGATTGCCCTCTCTCACAGCGCCCCCAAACTTGAAGGCTATGAAGTTGTGATTAGAGAGTTAGTCAGTTCCGACAGCAGCTATGAATGGAAAGATTTGGAGACAACAAACATTTGGCAAATACCAGGTAAGCGATTGAAGATGCCAGATAACTTTATGCTCTCCCTTCTTCCCGCTATCCTTTACGATCTTCAAAAGAACGTGATTATTTACCTACCCTACACGCAAACCTACCCATCCACCCATCAGCTACATGTACTTACCCATGTACTAGCGTATCCAGTTTTCCCACACACTCAGCCAAAGAACCAACTCTCTTTCCTCTCTTTCCACCCTCCTTTACGATCTTCAAAATTACTTGAATATTTACCTAAACAACACACAAACCTACCCATCTACCTATCAGCTACATGTACTTGCCCATGTACCCAATTATCTAGCTTTCCCGCGCACTTAGCTAAACAACCTCCTCTCCGCCTTCGTGCCTACTTACCTGTCTACCCACCTATTTATCTCCGCACGAACAGTTCCATCCAGGGACACCAAACCCTGCCTGTAACTCGCCATGCCAAACTTACCCATTAAATGCTTATCCATTTACCTTCGAGAGTTTATAATTAATGGTTATTGGATATAATATCATACATTTTTGATATGCTGGCATAAATTACCATTAGAGAGCACTAAACGTTTGAAAAGTAGCACACTGATGTTATTACTACATTCTCTGGCCCATAGAGCACCTCTGTACGTTTCACTATTTGTTCTCAAGTTATCGACAGTTATAAACACATCTTTTTGTAATCTTAAGGGTCTTCATGGCAGCTTAGGTTTAGACAGACAGTGAGTAATTTCCCCATCACTACTCAACTGTAATTTTTTTTTCTGCCTTTTCCCTGTGACAGAGCCTGTGTGTAATTCGAGAATCAATCTTTTTCTCTCATGATAGATTTTAAAGACGATTTTGCAAAACTAAGGGTTCCCTATTCTGAGGCTAAAGTTACTACTTGTGGCGTGTTTGCTGTAATTTACCGCCTGAAATCCTACATATACTCGACCCGTGTGTCAGGAAATGAAGAAATTACTCACAAAATTCCTGAGTATCCAGAAGTGAGTGTGACAATCCCAGCAGAAAATGTGCGGGATAGAAGTAATCTGGAGTTGATTCTTAAGGTAAAGACGTACTTTTTGTAACATCTGAAACGGTTATCTGGAACGATCACTGCTTAAAACTGCTTGCCATAACGGGATTTCGTCACCACGTGTCTCCTATTTATAAATTTACCGTTTT